CCGTATAGCCCCCAAACCAGCCATTTCTGGGGGTCGTTCCTCTAAATCTGAGCAGCTTTCCAGGGTCTTCATTTATGTGTCTTAGTCAAGTGAGATTATCCAGTCCTTGGTACCCGGGTAACAAAGTGCTCTTCTCAGACCTGCCCAGCATCAGCCCACAATGGTGAAGGTCTCTGCCACTGCCGGGGGGACAGGTTTGGAGATAGAACTGGGCAAAATCCTTCGGCTGAAGGAAAACAAAACAGGCAGTGGTAGCTTGGCTGGGTGTATACTGATTCTAGCAAACTGTTTCTATTGAAAGACATACATTGGGGGGGGGAGGGGGGGGTAAAAATATTTAGATTTTCTAAATCAGTCATATTGGTAATTTTCAAAAATTACATCACTGTGTTTTTGAAACATTCTGAAGTTTGAACAAAGTACATCTGGGTTAAACAACATCTTTTGTTTGACCTGAAGTGAAGTCATTTCAATTCTGCAGTTAGTTTGGGTTTTTTTTTTTATCCTGCCTGCTTAACTCAAAATCAAGACCTTTTTCTTCTGAATTTTCAGATCAGCTAAGCAAAATCTGAAAAACGTATTAGTAGCACAAGTCTAGTTGTGAATTATCTGAGATCCCTGCATGAAAGACTTTCTCAATTATTTGGACATTTTATTTTCACCTAGAGATTCTGTACCCAAAGGAAGGGAAAGTTGGGATTTACAGTTCATTCATGTCCCTAGGAACCAACCTAGAGCTGTGAAAGCAAGTGTTCTCAAGTTATTTCTTCCTATTATATAGTCGCCATTAACTCAGATTGTATTGTCAACTTCTGCTTGGGCTTAGCTTCAAGACTAATATTAAACCGTGCTGCTGCATAATTCTGTGGCTGTTTCCTTAGCCATAATGCAGGCTAATAGGTCAACCTTGGCTTTTGGTAAGTCATAAAATGGAAAAAACTCAGTTATAGGAGCTTTAGAATTCTTACTAGACAGCACGCAGTAATTCTTGTTCCTGAGTCATACTGCAAAAGCTTTTTATAATATCTTGCGTTTGCTCTCAGAGCAAGTGATTACACTTCTGTGCTCTTCCTCAGCCATCCAAAAAGATATTTGAGATTCTCTGTGCAGTGAGGGATGAATGTGCTGCAGGGAACACTCTCACAGGCAGCATGTGCTGTGGCTGCAAATACTGAAGTGCAGGA